AAAAAAAAAGAAAAGAAAAAAAAGAAAAAAGCAAGGCATTTTCAAGCTTGTAATGTGCTTGTGGAAACCCAGAAGTACAACTGCTGCACAATTGGTCTCAAATGTCATTTTGATTTTTCCTTTGTTTTTTTCCCCTCCCAAATTGTTCCCTAATATCCTAAAACAGCTGGGCACCATACTTTTTAGCAGATGTTCCTCAAACAGAATTGTATACTCAGAGACTATTTTCAGCTGTTTATCAATAAACATTTAGTGCTCTGGTGACTATTCACAGCAGCAGGATAGTACATGTGGCATAGAGTCTGGTAATGATGGAATATGTTGCCCCGCGCAACAGTGTGTCTTGCTGATGTCTTTTTAATGTTTTTTTGGAAAACAACTGAGCGCTATGCCACGGAGAAACATACGATGTCGAGCTTAGACCATCTTATTGGATAGGACAATGCTTATGGTCTTCTTGTCTGGTCATCTTATAGGAATGACAATTTTTTTAAAGACTATATACACACAGAATACTTCAATCTTAATTAATTATACAGTTCTGTACGCAATTGAATGAGATGCTGATGCTTGGAATGAGAACTAAAACCCACCTCATTGGTTCCTACTGTGCTGATGACACAGCTGATCTTTGTGTTGTCTTTTGACTCCAGGTAGATGGCCTGACTCTTGTGGTACCTGTCAGCATAAACACACACAGACTAAACATCAAACAAACAAGTGCAGACTGGAGGGAAGTTCATTATAAATAATTTTACCCAGCTGAATAAACCACATTACTCCTGAGAAGGCACTAAGTAGATAATTGGAATGAAAAATCAAAACAAAAAGTCTGTTATTTTTTAATAGCTCCAACCTTATAGAGGACAGAACAAACCTAGAGGAAGAGACTGACAGAAGGTACTTCATTATTAAGGGCCCACTGAAGAATAATGACGCATGTGCCTCCCTGTGGCTTTTTGAGAAGGCTTTCCAGTGGTGGCATCTTCTTTAGCCATCAATAAATGAGACTTTGCCTTGAAAGAAAAGTGCACATAGCTCTGTCTTCTCAAATTACTTTGTCTATATGAGCAGCTAATAGGACAGAATTCTATTATTTTTACCCATCTTCAAATGACCTTATGCTCTGACGTGTCTGATTCACAACTCAGCTCTGAAATAGAAGGGCAAGGGAAGGCTGTGTCTATTCAGGGATTTTCACTCTTATTTTGGCATAACAGCAGGGAGTGCGTTGCTGGTTCTTGTGCAGACATATTCTACAAATATGCATTTTTAACAGTGCCTTTAAGCATAGTATTCAGCAGCTCCTAAGCAATCTCTCTTTCTGTAGCGCAGAAAAAAAATGAGGCTGCTATCACAGTGGTTGTAAAATATCTTTACAGGCTCAAGCTAACATCCAACGCATAACAATGTGGCCATCTAGTGGCGACGCTGTGTATGAATTGCTATCGTGTCAGAGATGCACAGATTAAAACTTGAAATTCACCATCTTTTATCATAGTAAAGTTTCCCATCCTCGATGCGGGCCTCATAACGCTGGGTGGGGCTCTCCATGGGAGCAGAGGGGACATGTTCTGGAGATGAGGGAGACACTAGGGAGGGAGAAACACCCAATTAATACCCCCTGCTAATATACATGTAAGAAACAAAATATTACTGTGATGCATTTTATTGACCCTTTCTCCTAGCAGAAGACCAATGCTACTCTCTTCATCTGAGAGGTAACTCAGTACACACATAAATGTTCATTATAAAAATCCGTAGTAGAAGGCACGTGCAATCATACCTGGTCGCTTTGGTGATTTCAGCTGTAAAAAGCAGGGTTGAAAAGATTTATTATAAGGAATTGCTGAGTTATATTGCTTTCCAAAAACACATCACATCTAGAAATTTAGAAGCACTCACCTTATTAAGTGTTCTTAAATCTTCCATTATCTGCTCATCTGTTAGCAAATAATTTAGCTGAGGTTTGAAGAGTTAAAGAAAGTTTTGGGGGGGTTTTTTAAGACACAAAATCTTTTTTTTTTTAAATTTATTTTAAGGTATCTCAAGAACAAATTCTACAAGTATAAATAATCTGGAATATTTTACAGTCACAAGTTTATGCAAAGGATATCTGGTGCAGGTTTTCGCCGCTTGTCTGGTATTGGGACTGGATCGTTGGGCCGTCTCCTCAGCTTCCGGGTCATGATAGGCTTTACCTCCATGGAGTCTATGAATAGAAGAAATATGAGTGTGAGCTCCAGATGCATAGATGAATAGAGGTTAGCATCTTAACTGTATCTGAAAACTCAGATTTCATTTGATGACTTAATATTAAAATATGTAGAAAGAAGTAAAATACAGCCACCCACATACTTTTTTTTTTTTTACCCCATCTCTCTTTTGCTGAGCAAGTCCCTGATTAATAATCCTGTTCTGGCTCCCTTACCGCCTGTCAGCTCCATTGTTAATTTCTCGTTCTCAATCATCTTCTTTTTCTCCTCCAGCTCTGCAATTAGGTTTTCCTTTAGCTCAACCTTTTTATCATCGAACTCCTTCACTGCTGCCTTTTTCTCCTTGATGTAGTTCCTCTCCACCTGCTCTGTCTGCAGAAGGTACAAAGCAAGAAGAAATTTATGCTTGTATGTCCAAAAATAAATAAATAAATAAATAATGGCTGATTTTGATTTTACATTAGCGTCAGACCATGAGATACTGTTGCACTTACCTCAAGCTGGAGAAATAGATCTGTAAATGGGAAAAATAAAGCACAACTGGTCACATGAAGCAAACCGTTGTTCTGTGTCATTAAATTCAATTTATTTACCCTCAAAAATCATAAAAGAGAATGCTTATAGCACAGGAGCACAAAGTACCAGAAGCTTATAGTAAAATACTGAAGTTCAAGTAAAACTCCGAGAACAATAAGGCACTGACTGTTTATCTTTTAGTCATTTTAGCGTTAGAAATTAACTGATCATTGGTAATTACATACTTTCTATTCTCCACTGCAGTGATTATGAGTGTACTACCAGAGCCTTTTGGCACTGCATTCCTAACTAAATAAACACTCATTTTGATCAGCAAAAAACTAAGTACATTCCATTCTGGCACACAGCAAGCAAAGGAGAAAGCTGATCACAAACAAGACAAGCTACGGAGTCAACAAAAGCAAAGTATCCAATATAATTAAAGCAGCCGAATGGTTAGAGGACAGGTTGGAAACAGAGAGAAGAAGCTCAGTTTTTTACAAAACAGCATCCTGTTAATTTAAATGAGTAGACAGTATGCGCTTTCATTCCACCCAATACAGTTAAGTGCATCGCATGGATTTATGTGTTTGGGACATGTGGGTGTGAGCAGGAGCCCTGCAGAAGAAGGCACACATGTTGTGTGAAGTCAACCACCAAAAAACTTAAAATATATACATATATAGCTTTTATAACAAGTAACTGAGCAATATCGTCAGCTGTCTCTTCAGTGAGTCTCTGATAATGTGGCTAAAACTCCCAACTCCACCACCTGGAACTATATCTTGTCATCTTTTTAAGCCTAGCGTAGGATCAGTTTGCAGTAGATGCAGGTTTATATTATCCAGCTCACAGCAGATCTCCAGAGCAGAACAAGGACTACTATTATTCTTACGAAGCAGCTTAATGATACTGAAGACCACCTCAAAAGAAGGCCTTATATGGGAAGGTCAATTTAAGTGTGTGGGAAAAATTGCAGTTTAAAAAGTCCAACCAAGACATTGGCTTGATTCTTTCATTACCCATACTTCTCTTCTTAAGAAGAGAAGTATGGGTAATGGTAGCGGCTATTTTTATTTTCAGGTACACACAGTCGTCTGTAGCTCTGTGCATTTCCCTGAATAAACAAGCCAAACTAGAGCAGAAAGCTTCCTTAAATCTAAACAGCATGTCCAACATTGGTTGGCATGGATGCATCAGAAGTAAAGCACTTCATGTTCTTGCCTGCATTCCGAAGTCTCTCTTTGTACTGTTGGTCCAACTTCTTCATCCTCTTCTGATACTCTTGCAGTGTGCCTGACAAGACAAATGTGTTTTAGATATTAATGCTGGGCGTTGTTCACTCATGAAAACACACCATACAGTATTGTAGACTACCCACTACTATTTTTTTTTTGCCACACCTTTTACACTGAACCACAGGATAGACTAGAATACACTGACACTGTAATTACTTTTGGATTTGCAAAACAACTTATCATTCCGCAGTTTCTACAATCATCAGCATGAGCAGTAAAAGCCTTTTGGGATAGCTGACAGTACTTTCAAACAGCTCACTCAGCAGTTTGGAAGCAGTTTGCATCAGTAAACAACAGACAGTCTTAACAATAAAAATGAGCTCATGGCAGAGGGCCATTTGTCATCACTGTTTTATCTTTTTAGCCAATGACAAGCGAGCACTTTTAAACTGCTCTTCTGCCTGATGATGTAATTCCTAACCACTAAGCACCATGACTAATAAGTAAGGTTTTAGCTATGCCCTTGACAAGTCAAAATTAATCCTCATGCTCACACACAGTACCACACAATAAAAGGCAGCAGTCCTTCAAATATGGATAATTCCTGACACCTCCATTCATGTGAAAATAAGTCAAAATGATTACCTTCTTTCAAATATGGATAATTCCTGACACCTCCATTCATGTGAAAATAAGTCAAAATGATTACCTTCTTGTAACTGCTGCAGCTGCCTTTTCAGAGAGGCCAGTTTGTCTTGATACATTCTGCAATGAAAGAAAAGCTAAAGTCCCAACCCCCTTACAATAGCACAGTAACTTAAAACTTTCATCACCAAAAATGATTTTCAGTGAAAGGTTAGAGCTGCTGATCCACAGTTGGCAAGAAACTTACTGCTCCTTAATTTCCACATAGTCATCTTCGTCATGTTTGGCAAGATCAGTTTCACTGGCATCCTCAGTGTCTGAAAAATCAAGAAGAAAAAAGAAAGGATTTTCTCAGCTAAAATTTGAAAACATTTTTTCACCAAATACTTCACATGTGATCATATCAGGAATGTTTACAGGCATAAGTTTTCAAAAACAACCTTGATGCACAGATGGCAGAGATATCTGCAGATGAAAGTACGTGCGTGGCACAGATGAAGTAATGGTCTACACCCTGCTTGGGAATGCCCTGGGGTTGATAATGTAGACAGTGGGAAATCCACGTATGCCAGGATAACAGCTGATACCTCTACGTATTCTTGAATCGACCGCAGAAAACGCTCAGCTAAAACAAACTAAAGTGGGTACATCTGCTTAACTGCCCTTGGGCTTTTTTTTCTCGATGACATTTATAGAAAGAGTGATGATCTATATTTTTAAGCACTTTTCGCAAGGTGTAATTACCAGTACAGATCCCGGCTAACTTGGTAGTGCTGTCAATCCAACAGCAACTCTCTCGAAACAACGCCAGCATGTTTCACCAAACCTGGTTTGATGTCAGAAGCTCGGGAACCAAGTTATAACCACATATGTCTGACGAAAAAAAATTCACCGGCTTTACGTTGAAACGTCAAGACGAGCAAAGACTAAGGCCCCTCTCTGTATTCAAGCTGACACAGCACCTTTCATTTTCGGCTAGCATTAATGTGCTAGCATAAGTTAGCCGCGCCTGCTGATAAAGAGTGTAACCCGACTCTAGCTTACGTAGTTAGGCTTAGAAGAACATATCCGGAGAGGAGAAGAAAAATAAATCCAGCTGTTCGCTTTGGAGGTCAATGTCAGGGAATTGGCTAACCTTGCAGTGTTGTCATCGCCTTCCTCTGATCCGGTCTTTCTTTCCCTTTCCCTGCAATCCGTTCTGTCTCAGTGAAGTGTGTGAAAAGGGCAGAGCAGTGGACACAGCACGCAGGATTTCGCTTGCCTTCCTGCCGACCTGTCAATGCCCGGAGCTAACGTTACGTAGCAAGTTGGCTAATTTACGTTTGAACTGCCATAATTTTTTTTTAAGAAAAAAAACGAATAGTTGAAATTTATAGCTGTGCTTCGGGAGCACTGTTTTAAGCGCACATGTACGTCAAGGAACTGTGGCCAGTGGTGTTTTCATGCTCTTGTGTATAACGCTAAAAAATTAATGCTAGCAATCTTAGCGTGTTTATCACTGATTATTTCTTTCGCTCGACTTGCTGCCAACTCTGAAAAAACCGAACGGTTTGCTTTGCTTACTGAGCTTAAATCACATACTTCTGAGACAGTTCATCACCAGGCAGACTCTTTGCTCGTGGCACTGTGTACCTAAACGTAGCTAGAAAGCTAACTAAGTAACGTGTGGCTGCATTGAAGTAGCTTTCCAGTTTTGGGAGCGAGAAATACATTTTCACTTGTTTTGTACTTGCGCATACTACGCTACATGGACAAACGGTTTCCACTGGAAGGGGGAAAACGACTTAAATGCTGCATTTTAAGAAAACACATCCAAATTCATACAATAAAGCGCGCATTTCCGTTTTTTCCAACAACTAGACAGAGCCCGACAATCGGGGAAGATATTGTTGAAAACGTTACCTTCTTCCGAGTCTCTCCCCCTGAAACTCCGATCGTCGTCGTCATCCACGCTATCGAGTTCTTCTTCATCATTGTAATAATCCACCATGGGCGACAGCAAAGTCGAAGTCATTTATGCGCTCCGAAAAATGTAAACAAACATAAAATAAACAATCGATTTGTGTTTTGCAGCTTGCTTGGAAGAGCGCCTACAACTGGTAGGACCCCCGGGTGTCAAGCTGTCCAAGAATACGCCTGGGTAGAATTTTGATAATAAACGAATCGTATAAAACATTTAATCGCAGTTTTTAATAGATCTAGCACAAAAACTTTGAAACAGTCACCGCTAATTAATAGAGGCCAAGTTTTCTATGAGTGATTTGAAATGTATGGTAAAACATCTAAACAGGCACATTTCCTATCACATTTGGATAGTTAATAAGTTTCTTTGTTTTTTTCACTACTCTAAGGATTAGCATCGGAAGGTGATTGGTGAACGCCAGTTTTTTCATTGAGGCCACTGCTGATCCCTGCCAGCTGCCTCTTCCTCGCCCCAGTGCTCACACAATAACTCAGAAACATTTTCAAACAGTAGTGACCAAAAGATCTACAAAATGTGTTTGTGTTTCTATAGTAGTTTTACAGAAAATCTACGGACAGCTGAAGAAAAACAAAACAATCTCGAATTTTTACAACTGCTTAAGCTGGGGGGGAATCAAGTATGCAAAACCTTTAAAAAAGCAGATTTAGCATGCTTTATTTAGAAAAAACAAACAGATAAAACAAAACAAAAAAAATCACAAAAGCATTCAAAGAAACACAAACGTATGGTTTACTATTAACCTTTTTTGGTGTATTTAGTGTATTATGTTGAAAACCTAAACTTTAGGAAAATGCAGTTTACTTTATATGAGCAGAATATGCTCAGTAACGATCTTTCATTGACAGTCTATGGAAATTTGTTTTTGTTTTTTGGTTAACGTTGACATTTACATCCTTAATTTTGGTATCATTTTGGCATTGTCTTTGGTCATTAGATATGAATTTGACTAAATTAGTGAAATAATTCTGTCAAATAATTGGTGAAATGTTATCATTTTAACAGCAAATTTATCAGGTGGTGTCTTCAGTGTTGTACTTGGACAGACATAAAAAGTGATAGTTTGACCCCAGTGATGCCAGTGGACGAGAATACTGTTAATCATATAATGCCCAGTTCTACTCGAAGACAGCTTGCACTTCAGTAATGCACTTTGGTACTTAACTTTATCAAAGCATGAGACGCTCTACTCCAGTATATTTTGAATTCAAATATGATACATTATATGGACAAAAATACTGGGCCACCTGCACCTGCAGGAGGTAAGCGGCCATGGAAATCCATACCATGAAATTCCTGATGCACAGTTTTGATTTTAATACTAAGGGACAGTTGCAACTCTGTGCCTCAGCACTTTGTGACCCTGCTTTGTAATCTTTACATGGTGTATCGCTGTGTGGCTGAGTTACTGTGGCAAGTGTGGCTTTGCAACAACACCATTTAGTGGTATAAATGAATGGAAGAAAATTCACAAATGGACTTCCCACAGAGGCATGCTCAAATTTACTGAATGACCCATTCTTTCACAAATATTTGTAAAGGCAGGCTGTGCCATTGTGTGTACTCCGCGTGGCTGCTTGAGTTTTGTGCACCTGTGGCTATGGGACTGAAATGATCTGAATTAAGAACAATTAGGAGGTGTGCCCAAATACTTTTATACATATAGTGTATTTTTTACTCGATAAAATGTATTTTAAAGCTTGAGTTAGTTATTATATTTTCAGATTTCTAAACATAAATCTACTGTAGATAAAGTTACCCAGCAGAATATGATTAATTAATCAACACCAAAGTGACACGATAATAAATCATTAATTGTGAATGAGTGTTACAAAGCATATGATTCTGCAAGCACTTTTGCTTGCACTAATAGGCAGTAATGCTAAATACATTTACATTAATTAAATTAATTCTGCCTTAAAATGAATTTATTAACAAAGAATTGATGTTGGGAGTGTTACTAGGCCTACCTCTAGAAGAGAAAGGCACTTCACATTTATAGAAGAGAAAAGAGAAATAAATGTTTAAATAGTTTACCAGTTACAACAAAGAGACACTGTAAAGATCCCATGTTTAGGGCATAACTCAAGCAATGGCTGATGGCAAACCATATCTGTGATTGCTTTTAACTTAACATGATGTATTGTTTGACAATCTGTGTTTTCAGGTCTGTTTGTATTTTTACAGTATTTTCCATAGTTTCATGTTACCTGCCCAAGTAGTAATGATGTAAATTAGTAGTTTTGGGTAAAAAATCTGGCATGTCTACATTTTATATGTCTATATGATGTCCATTAACATGCACTGTTCCTTTTAAACAATCAAAAGTAAAACTTTTGATTTATTGGGGAAAATAAGTAAGAATACAACTTTTTTTATTGATGGTCTGAATACTTGTTTCTCCACATTACAAAACAGCTATTCAGTAGAATGGAATTAATTTAAACAGATCTAGATTTTTATACTCTCAAGTGCCACTTCTGGCATAATGTCTGTATTAGGAAACAGGTCTGTATAAGCCTGAAAATTATAATACTTGAGTTCATTTTTATTATCATATTAAGGAGTGAAACTACAATCCACACATTCTCCTCACCTTACATCTATGCCTACACATGTCCTCATTTCCACGCCGCACACTCCCTCCCCATTTTTCCTCTGTTTGTCATCCAAAAGGTATCAGTGGAATCTGTTAGGCCAGGAGCCAGTAATCATTATCAGCAAATATTCTTCATTTGCATCCGAGGTTGAGGTCCTTGCTAGTGAATACGCGGTATTCGTTTCGGATCAAATATTGTGGTTTCCTGTGCCCCATCCTACTCCTCCACTGGTTTTCATTGGTCTCCCCGCTCCCCCGGCCATCCTATTGCAAAAACTCCTGGAAACGGCCCTGATGCAGAATAAACTCAATAATTCTACAGTTAAACTTCCAAAGTACAACAGCAGGTGGCATCATCGTACTGAGCATATTTAGCAGACTAGCTGGCTTGCCATCTCTGAAGTTGCAACAGAATCGGGATGACTCAGTCCATGCATCTTTAATGATTTGCAAAGGAAATTGGGTAAAGGATCGTTGGTCGTTCACTTTTAATAAATTCTTTATTAATATCTTTATTTTTGAATGCTGCGCCACTGTAAGAATGATTCATACTTTAAAAATTTGTATTGAATTCGGACAAAACAACTGAGCATAAAGTACACGCAAAACAATCAGTCAGATATATATTATGTGGAAAATACCAAGCGCGCAGAGCGCACATCCTCCAGCGGTCGGTTCCCAACACGAGACAACTTTATTTCCGCCTGTCTGTCAGAGTGGCTGTCAAACACGGGCTAGGGGTTGTGCTCCTGCTGCTCCGTCATTCAGGAAGTCTAGACCAACTGACAGCACTTCGAGAAGTCACAGCGAAATCTCTAGAGTCGGACAAAATAACCCTGAAGTGCGTACGGTTTTCACCAAGGACGAATTTTACAAAAGGTGAGTAGTTTTTTCACTCTGCTGTTGCGCTGCTGTCAACGTTTGTCCCCATCCACTGTAACGGTTAACAGCTCGTGCTAAAAGCCTCGCGCGCTGAGAACTGAAAATGACACTTCCTCTTGTCTCAACGGCTGAGCTACTGTAGCTAAATGTCAAAGCGGTAAAAGTGGATACAAAGGAGTAGTAGTGTCGATTAGGTTGCACCTGAAGTTGGTAATGACTATCATCGCCTGTTTTCGACGTTGTTCGGCTTGTTGTTTGAACGCAACTCAGAGGTGGTGAGTACTGAGACAAGCATCAGCTCGCTGGGGTTAAGTGCGTAGGTTTGCTTTTTAACGGCTTTAACGAAGTGTGCACGTTTGCTCGTTATTGCACCTTTTTAAAGCCTAGGCTGAATTGTGGGTATTTTTTTACGCTGTGAACTGACGAAGAAGAAGCTTTGCTGTTTGGTTTGTTCCTCGGGGGGTGAGTATGCTGAGCAAACGAATGACAGCTTGTAGTGAAGTGAACGTTTGGGGTTTTTTTTTTTTGCAACAGACAAGGTGGCTGGGTGGTGTATAAACTTGTCCATGGTGTTATTTTAGCAGTCTCACGCAGTGTGAGTGTCAGCCCGTTTGAATCTGTCACGTCCAAAATGACTGTGGTACCTTCCATTGCACATTGTTGTGAGTGAGCTTTTACTATCAACGCACGGTCACAATGGCTTTCGGTTGAGACAGTGTAACGTCCACTATGCATGACACTACGCATACTTTTACTACGTCTATCTGAAGCCTTTTTACACAGGCGATCATGATCTGCACACCCTGTTTTGTTCTGTTTTTGTGGGGGGTTTAGGATTTAGATTGTAGGATTAGACTGCACTAATTTAATGCAAAGACAACAACGGTACGTCATTCATTGTTTTATTATATAAGTCATTCATGGCTTGAATTGTACCGGACATCTTCACCTGCACACGAGACGGTGCTCCATTAAATGGGCAGTAGTTAAAAGTAAATGTAGGCTAATACGGCGCGCTCGAAATGGCAGATGTAGATAGCAAGCTGAGCACTAAAACCCAAGCTGACCCAATATGATGTCATCTCTTGTGTGTAGAGCGCATGAGTGAGAGGAAGCAGACCCGTGTTTGACTGCTAAACTGTGTCATTTGTAAAGATTTATTTTAAGAAGCCTGCCCACTCAATTTCAGGCATGGATCGCGGGAATTTAATCCTGTATTATGACACTGCACCTGCATGCCATTCACATCGATTTGTAGTATTTTTTTTTCTTTTTTTTCTGTTATGTCATTTAGCTTAGGAATGATGCACTGTAGATGAAAACCCTGTGTGAATCAATTTTGCACACTGTAGTTTTACACAGTGGTTTACTCATCTTGAGATAATGTTAAGTGAGTATTGTAAAACTGATGTCAGTTCCCCTTTATAACATCTGTCAAGTTTGTCTTTCTGTGCTATGTCCGAGTTTCTCTGCCCTACTTCGGTTTTGTTCAAAGGGCAAATACGTCACTGTTGTGCAAGTGTGTTTTGTCCGTTTTTCACATCATTCACATCTAATCGGTTCATCGACCACCCAATCGCAGTTCCACTGACATAGGGAACAGAAAGTGTCACACTTCCTTATTGGTATCTCCTTTTATGATTTTGATTGTGCCATTTTCTCTGAATGTTTCGATCCCAGTCCCAACATAGACTAGATGTTAAAGGTACATGTAGCATAATGGTGCACAGATAATGATGGACATAGTATTTTAGTTCACATTTCAGATCAAACCACAAAGTGAAAAGGGATCTATGTAAGCACTAAAAGAGGCTCAAGAAGTGCTTTTACTGTGACAGTGTAGAAAGATTAAAACATTTTTGGAATGGGTCGGAGTGATATATGCTAAAATGATTTCAAAAGAAATTCCACTAAACCTCAAGCTTTTTCTTTTCTGTTTGTAGCCAGGAGGACACGACTGCAATTAAAATGAAGAACAATTAATGAACCTCAGTTGTTTGAATGCCAAAGAGCTAATTGTGACGTGTTTTTTGGGTGGGGGAAACACTCAGAGGCCAAATATTACCCACAGGATAAGATAAATAATGTCAATTCTTCCACTAGATAGAATAACACATATATTAAAATCTAATAGGAAATCAGTGTGAAGTGAGCAACAGCCATCCTATACCCATTTTTACAATGTTCACAGAATGTTTTGTCTTTAATGTTAAAAAAAAAAAAAGTTGTTTGGGTATAAATTACCTTGTATATTAACAAAATGAGTGTTTTCCTGTTTGTTTGTTTTTGTTTGTTTGTTTGCATGTTTATTTGTTTTTATCTTGTTTATTTTTTTTAATTGTTTAATTTTTTAAATTTAATCTAAACTATTTAAACAAATACTCAGTGCACAGATGTAGAGGAGACAGAGGTGCGTGTGCGCGCGTGTGTGTGTCTGTATTCTCATGAATTCAGGAAATCAGTTAGTGCTTTCAAGAAGGCAAGGCATCATGAAATAGAACAGTGGGGAAGGACAGCCTCAAAATTAGTAATCTAATTCAAACCTGCAAGGATTCAACATGCTGGAGAGAGAGAGTGAGAGACATGATGGCTTAGTGTGCTCTGACTCTGTTGTTCTACTCCATAGCCAAATCCCTTATCCTAATGAGAGAATTTATTCTGTTGGGATCTTCAAATTATTGCATTAATGTCACAAAGAGGAAATGGACTCAGCAGAATGGAAACCACAGTTCCCAGTCTTTTATGACAGACGGGGCTTGCTTCTTCTGGGTCTGTCCACATGTCATTGGGATGTACAATGGGCTGCAGCAGATTATCTGTACAACAGATACTGCCATCTTATAAAACAGACTACATTAGTTATAACAGTTGTCCTGACCTCTATGCGCCCTTTATAGGTCTTGTAATATGCTGCAGCGTCTAATGCAATCTCTGTCTGTCTCAGTGAAATCCTGATTTGTTTTATTTCAGAGAAACTAGAAGCCACTGAAGCCCTCTACTAGCTTTACAGAAGCTGGGATTTTTAAAAAAAACAACCCAAAAACTTATCAATGGGAAGAGTTTAACTGTATCAGCTATAATCGAGAAATTAAACTCCCAGTCCCCCTATGTGAATGTTAAAGTTATCGAGTTGACCTGTTCTTTTGAAAAACCTAGACAAGTCTACTGGTAGGCCTCTTACAGTTTGGAAACAATTATGTAATAAGGTTATTGGCATTGTCATATCCACATATTTGAAACAGCAATTGTGATATTTTACAACAATTTAACCCCTCAATGAGAAAGAGCTGAATTTGCTTCTAGGTGAAACCTGTTGAAGTGAAAAGCTTTTTCCTTTCACATGATGAAAGGCTGACTTTTGAAACCTATATTACAGAATTGTCAGTTATCCAGTGCCACAGCAGTTTGGTGGTTTATGCTACAGTGGCAGGGCACATCAATATTAAAGGGCTTCTGTCAGGCTTAATGTTATGCAGTGATCTGGTTTAGGATGTCTGATACAGGAATGTTGTCTCAGATAGTAAGGAGAATTATGCCGTTTCTACCCCCACCACTGATGTGTTCATGCGTACTGCTTTTAATGATGATTTCAGTTGACAGCAAAACTCTGTACTGCTGCAAGATCATAGTCTTATGAAGCCAGCAAGAGAGAGTACCAGCACAGATATGTGTTAGCAGGATTAATCTATAGAAGCACTTTGTTTGATTAGCCAGTCAGAACTACCTACGGTACACGTGTTCACAGTGGGTGCGTTCCTAAATCTTCTTTTGGTGTGCATTAAAGCAGCGTTTGTGTCCAACTAAGAGTGTCTATTTAATTAAATGTGAAGATGGTTAGTTCCTCAAAGCAAATGCCCTTTTTATAAACCATCTGTTGATTCATGTCCAGCTCATAGTTTCTTTTATCGGCATCACTTCTGGATTTTTATGGCAATGGCGTATTTGCACCACTGACCATCATGGGGAAAAATGTGAAATGGATCAGGTCTGCACCAGCCCAGCAGCTGGTGCAGACCTGAGTCATGGCCTTGGTCTACTGAAAGCTGTCTCAGAGGGGGGAAGCCACAGCCCAGCAGATGTCTCATCAACAAATGCCTCCCCAGTGAGTGTGCCACTTCTGCTGTTTACTTGCCACCTTGCACAGCTGAAAACTGTATTAGTCAGACCAACCACTTTAGATCTTGAGTAGAAGTATTCAGCTGTCGCCCACTGAAGTTTTCACAATGAAAATATTGCACACCTAAAAAGGTAATTATTGCAGCAGTTCTGATCTAAGTATGTGTGTGCTTATTCATCTGGAAATTCCTATTGGATTTTATAGGCTTTTCACTAGTGTAGCATCTGGCTCAATTTCTTCACTGAGCACAATAATGTATGTGCTGCATACTATTATGCACCACATATTGGTTGTTAAATACGTCATTCTTCCTAATGTACTACATTTCCATTGTTTCCTTCATTGTTTTGTTTTGTTTTTTTCAAATTGTGTCACAAGATAGGCATTTTGGCAAGTTAGCCTCTGTGGGTGTGGGAGGTTAGCACGAGTGACTTGATTACAGAGCTTTATTAGAAGTGCGCATCCAATCCCCTGGCGAGGTTGCAGCTGTGACCATGAGTAGGCCCCCCTACCCACCCTCTTTTCAACCCCTATTATGTCCAACTACATCTGTCTCCCCTTTTTTTTTCTTTTTTTTTTTCGTGAAATGTGCAAGCCTATCCCTGCTCTTCTATGACTAGGCCAAGTTGAAGTGCTGAGGAATTATGAGGAGCCATCACCATCACCCAAAGAGACATTACCAATGCTGATGGCTGACTTGTCTTATCTCTGCCCACCACTACCCCTCCTGGGCCTAAGGCTTAATTTAGCCTGGCAGAATGGCGGAAAAGACTCAGACTGGACTATTTTTAGAACTACATGGTTCACTGTAATATGGGTCTTTAAAAAATTGAAAGTGTCATGTCATAGGCCTACCATTTGCCTCTGTTCTGCTGACTCT